CGACCGCTCATGTTCGCATCGTACGAGCATCGAATGTCACGCCACATGTAAGAATGCGGGGCCGAAGAGTCCACACTGTCAGACGACCAGCCATCCATGCTAAATGAGGATGAGAGGAGGGGAAGGGAGGAGGGAAATAAGAAGACAGGTCTTGGCCTTGGCGCGCGCGCCTTGGGCCCAAGTAAAACTCCAGTCTGCACCGACCACCCTAGAAAGGCACCCCTCTCGTTGCTCGTGCCTATCTGCTTTCGTCAACTCGGCAGTGAAGCAGACTGGGATGTACCCCATCCTGCCGTTTCCTCTACTGTGTGGCACCGCCTCAGCCAAGACGCCTGCCTCGAACTACCATCACCACCCTCCCAGTCCTTACCCATGCCTCTCTCTCCATTCCTTGCGACCTCGTGTTTCTTACCTTTGTGACTCGCAGTCGTAGCTACCCGGTGAGGCCTCCATGATGCCACCTTCGTGATGAGCCTTCAGAGGCGAGTGACTTGTCTCCATTTCCAAAGCCATCTGTGATATTGCGAGCAGAGTGCCACGACAGGCCTCAATTGCCTGTCCACACGTCGATTCCGTTGGAAAATGCAGAGCAGGTGTCCCAATGTGGCGTTGGTGTGGGGTAAAAATATGATTCGATTAAGGGGGTTTACGGTCGTTTTACTGAATACCCTGCTCGTACTGGGCGGTCTTTTCGAAAAAAAAAAACGACGGCCATTCGATTCCATTTCCATTCTCCGCCTGCCCTCGCACTTGCCAGCACCAGTATAGTTTAACCCATGTGCAGCACATCAAGCTTGAGACACAGTTGGCACATATATCAATGACACTTCCTTCTTGCCCGGGCCCTGGCCCAATCCCTCAAAACCGCTCGGGCAGGGCAGCATCAGAATATTCATGCCAAATTAATGCATTTCCGACGACTGGGTCCAAACCATCCATCACACGACCCCTTAATTTCATAGAAGGCCCCCAGCAACATGACGGGATTGAAAAGTCAAGGCACCGGGACAGTTGTGAAAGTCAGAAAATAGATTTGAGAGAAAAAGCAAAAGATAATTCCGACGCCTCTACGGCATCCGGGAAGACTGCGCAAACGCCAAAAATTCACCGGGCCAACCTAAAACGGCACGTCCACCAGCCTAAGCACGTGCCTTTATGCCATTGAGAGACACGTGCCTTTGTTTTACCGGGCCCGACGGCGAATTACCTAGTCATCAAAATCGTGCCGGCGCGCCTCGTACGGCTGGAGCCTGAGGAATGCGGCGACGTGGTCCTAGGCGCAGTTAATCCCTTTATTCTACGCCTTACCGTCAACACAGAGTGTCTTCGCGGCTCTGCCCCTCGTCCCGGGCGTGAGAGAAGCATGCTGGTTGTCAACTTTGAGGCCAGGGGGGATGAAGTTCAGTCGGATTTGCTTTTGCGTTGGAGGCTTGTGGTGTAAATGTTGCGCGAGGGATCTTTTTTAGTGACGGTTTGACTCCTTCCGTGCTATGTACCGTGCGCTTGTGTTATTCTCCCTTCACATGTTTTCCAACATTCCCTTTCACTTCTGAACAGAGCATGACCACATTGGTTAGTCATGGATTACCACTGGTCCTGGTTCTTGCAGCATTTTTGACCGCCAATTCCATGCCTTCCCGCCTCGCATTCCTGCCTGCAACGACCGGCTTACCGATAGCCAAGTCGATACGCCTTCCCACCCACGGGCCTTCCCCGTTCCATTCATACCCAAGCAACCGTCCTGCCTTTTCACGCGGCTGTACTAGCTCTGAGGCACCTGGTTTTTCCTTTTCCAAAGCCACACCTATGTCCACCATCCCATCTTTGTTCAAGATCTCGGGGGGAGGTAACACAAGCAGACCTCCTGCCTCCTCGACTAAATCGATTCTACCCTCAACCCCCCGCACCCGCCGTGTCGTCGCCTGGGCCTGTGCTTTGGCCACCCTCTTGTTTATGACCACGGCGACCTCGGTTCCTCGTGCTCTGGCTGCAGCAGTGGAGCACGGGGAGCATTTGCATTTGGGCCAGCGTGTGGCCAAGACCATCGGAACCCGCACAGGGTGGCCGAATTGGGTGACGCTCATGGCCATTTCCGCCTTGCCCGTCGTCGAGCTGCGTGGAGGGGTGCCCGTGGGGCTGTGGATGGGGATTCCTGCCGCCCAAACCTTTTTGTTGGCTTGCCTGGGCAATCTGATCCCCGTGCCCCTCATCTTGCTCGTGCTCCGGAACACGCCTTGGTTGATGGAGAAAGTGACGCCCGTGTTGGAAAAGAAATTGAAGGACACGACAGGAGCGAAGATGAATTGGCAAGCCTTAGCGATATTTGTGGGGGTGCCCTTACCGGGCACGGGCGCCTGGACTGGCGCCGCGATTGCAGCCTTGTTTAAGTTGTCGTACGCCGAGTCCTTTCTGGGGATCGTGGTTGGTATCCTTTCTGCGGCTGCCATCATGACGGCTTTGGTAAAAGCTGGCATGTGGGGGGCGATAGCGGTGGGAGGTGGTTTGTTGATCAGTTTTGCAGCTCAGCAGTTGGGTGAACGAAAGGAAAAGAAGTGAGGAAGGGGAATACGAGAAGAAAGCACCATTTAGACATTTCCATTCAATTTCATGGCCACGTGTTTACCTCTTTTATCGAAAAAAGGGTAAACGTCGGCGGATGGCGGAAGATATGAGCTTTTCATTCATTTTTTGCTAAACTTTGATATACGCGCAGCCCGAGAAGGGATATGGGAGTCCCTTTTACATGACACATGTAACAATAGAGGCTGAGCAGCCAGGTGCTTTTTCTCATCAAAAAACTACCAAGTATCATTTTGATGTCGATGCGATTTTTTTCCGAATGGTGCACTCAGGGGGAAAAAGCCGGGGGACGCACGCCAGGAGATGAGGAACAAGGGCGGGAGGTTATATTCCCCCCACCAGTACAACTGTACGTGGGAAGCATTTTCACCGACAAATCTCAACGCATTTTCAAACAGTGAAAATTTTCTTGACGGACTTCATGGTGCGACGAGGACCAAGCGTGTCAATGGGACAGTGGGCGCTGCTTCTTTTGCCCATACTTTTCCTCTATGAAGGGCTACTGGGCTCCGGAGTACCAAGGAGCACAACCCTCTCTTGCACCATGCTTATTGTTTGCGCCACTGCGGTTCCAACCATGCCCGAGGGTGCGTAATTCTTTAAACTGCTTATGACAGTCATGGTCAGGCGTCTGCGATTCTGAGTGTTCACGTCTCGTCATTGGGTTTTTTGGGGGTGCCATTCGACAGGTTTGCCTGCCTCCAGGCTATTTACCGTCCACGGGGGGGTCTCACGCCACGGAGAGAAAGAAAGAAGCAGAGACGATCTAGATCGGAGTACACGTGGAAGATGGGAGCAGGTTGAGAAAAAAAGGACAACAGAAAGTGGATCAATGTCCCGACCCGCGAGATCGCGTGGGCGACGACGCGACGCTCAGGCTCGCCACAGGGATGAGCGCAACCACCAGGACGAGGAAATGTTCGACGGACTCGACGCAAACCCAGGCGTGGACGGGAGGGGAAGCACAGTGGCAGCCTGGCGGTCTCATAAAAAGGCATGTGCAGGTATTTCTACACGGACAGCACGCCCCCTCCCTTCGGCGCGGGCAGCAGGACGTAAGAGACGTCGTTCCACTCTTCCGTTGAAGCCTTCGTCATCACTACAGTGGCCTCGGTATTCACCGGCCAAACGTCGCAAGGACGGGAAGCTTCCTCCGCGAAGGCCCCCCGCCTCCCCTTCCTCAAGCCCTTCCCCGTCCTTCCCCCCTTCCCCTCCCTCCACCTCCTCTGCCTATGCCTTTCGCACGCTCTCCAGGCCATTAAAGCCCACGCCACGACAGCGTCCCTCCCCTCCCCCGTCCCTCCCTTCCTCCCCTCCCTCCTTCTTCCCCCTTCCCCCCCACTTCCGGGACCGAGGGCGGGTCCTTTTCCGGGAGTTCAAAGCCGCGCTCTCCTCGGAACTGGAAGGGGAGGTCGTCAAGGCCACGCGCCCAGACTCCCGACCCGTCAAAGCCAAACACTTGGACGCCCTCCTCTCCATCACGTACCAGACGCCGGCCTCGCTCGACCCTTTCCCCCCCATCCTTCGGAAATTGTGGGCGAAAATGCGGGAAGGCGATGCCCGGATCACCCTGAAAGCCCTCTACGTCCTGCACCGCTTCGCCGCCAACGGGGCTGTCGAACAGTCAGGG